GAAACGAGCAAACGCTATAATTAACCACTAGGTTGTCCCAGTGGAATTATTTCACTGATGAAGCTGTAATCTTGCTGACTGTCACAAAACACTAATGTCGGACACTCACTGTCATTACCACGTTCTCTACAGAATATATATGTGTTCATGTATGGTACGTCGACGGTGCAACCTCTCTTACTAGACATGATTTAGGACAAAGTGCTTGTGTACATCCCTGGACAGTAGTGTATGAGTGAGTGTGTCGGGTATAAGGCCGCTTTGAACAGTATTACAGTTATATCGCAGTGTGTCAGTGTCATTGAGTGAGTGAGTTTAGTTTTACGCCGCTTTTAGCAATATTCCAGCAATATCACGGCGGGGGCCGCCAGAAATGGACTTCACACATTGTACCCATGTGGTACACGTGTACCCGGGTCTTTAGCGTAACGATCGAACGGTTTAATCGCTATATACTCCACCGCCCATCATGGCGTGTCAATTTGATGTTGCAGGATATTGATGTGGCTCCTGGAGGTTTACCACTTCCTTAACACTTATCAGCTCGGGTAGGATGTTGACAATTCTAAAAACATAATCGGGGTGAATCCTTTTGAACTGAGCATGTCAACATAAAATTTGTCCTGTTGACATCGTTTCAACATTCAGTCTGTCAAATGGCCTCGACTGTCAGTCATGCACCATGATGACTATGTGCGGTTTCCTTGGAATGTTGTATTGATCATGTTATCGAGTGGACTCGGATGGGTGATTTTCTCACGCCATCCTACCGTGCGTGGCGTCATCAAGTGCAACGGCGGTGAGGACGTTTAACGCCGCAGTCAGCAGTGTTTACCTCACCAACCGAAATATGACTGAGACCATAGAGGGCATGCTCAATCGTCAGTGTCCGTAGCACTCATTACGGCGGCTAAAGGGGATCGTGTGTGAGGGTAGGGGTGCTTAAGGTGACATTGGCTGATCCCGTGCCGTTGTGGAACTGGTGCGATTGGCTCAGGCCCTAATATTTTACTGCCGTTGTGAAGGCGGCTTTTTGTTGACTGCGGCAATAAAAAATATCCACTCGCCCATGTATATACAACTTTAACGCTTACGTCAGGACCATAAACTGAAATGACACGAACCCTGGGTGATGCACAATATACAATTATTAACTGACCACCGACATACCGCGTACAGCGGCATCTTTGGAAACCCGACTACCAATTAATAGACAATGGTTCAGATAAGAAAGATTCCAAAAAGAGAGAATATTGAAATTATCCATCGTAAGTTTTGCAAATTCGTGCTACAAATTGGTTACAGATCTACTAATGCTGTTGCTTATGGGGAAAGCGGACGACGCCATCTGTCAAATGTCTACTTTGTAAAATGCATCAAATATTGAATACGATTATTACACATGCACCCAGATAGATACCCTTATCAATGTTATCGATTTTTATTGTCAATTGAATCTAGAAAACGCCCAACATGGGCAAGTTATGTAAAGCATTTATTGTTTAGACAGGGGTTTGGAATTGTATGGAACACACAATCAGTTGGTGATCCAAAGATATTTTTATGTAAATTTATTGAAAGAATTAACGATTGTTTCCACCAAGAGTGGCATTCATCTCTTCTTGACAGCAAATCACTGTGCTTTTACTACTCTCATAAATCTTTGCTGAACTGTGAAAAATATCTCCTGTTTAATATTAGTAATGATAATAAACGTATTTTTACAATGTTTAGATCAGGAAGTAATATACTCGGTATTAAGTTAATCAGGAAAGGTCTTGCTACTGTCAATGACAATGTTGCATTATGTAAGCATTGTAAAGCTGTTGAAGATGAAGCTCATGTTATATAGAACTGCAAGTTTTATGAGAGTTTTCGGCAACGTCTTATTCCAAAGACATCAAGTGGACACTACGTCTCCATTCAAAGTCTCTGTACATCCGTAGATATTAATATCATTATAACTTTGTGAAATATTTGAAATATGTTTATTCTGAGAAACAGTGTTAGCAAACACGTTTCTTCGATCCATACTATGTACTCATTTGGTAACTCAAGAACCATACTATGTATTATTTTGTATTGTAGGTTGTATCGTCTATATGCAAATACATGTATGTCCAAAGACATCAAGTGGGCATTACGTCTCCATTCAAAGTCTCTGTACATCCTCTGATATTATTATCATCAACAACTCTGTGAAATATTTGAAATACGTTTCTTTTGTGAAACATTGTTAGCAAACTCTGTTCTTCGATCCATACTATGTACACATTTGGTAACTCAATAACTATATTATGTACTATTTTGTACTGTAGGTCGTATGGCCCCATATGCAAATCTCTCTCTCTCTCTCTCTCTCTCTCTCTCTCTCTCTCTCTCTCTCTCTCTCTCTCTCTCTCTCTCTCTCTCTCTCTCTCTCTCTCTCTCTCTCTCTCTCTCTCTCTCTCTCTCTGAAAGATTTAAGCAGGAGTTACATGCAATGGCACCTACAGTAGAGTCAGTTCCGTGGACCTGCAGTATGAATAGACAAATACTACTGTATGTCTATTCAATTCGCAGGTAATATTCGCCAGGTAACGTAAAGATGGTACAGGATTTGTGGTTCTGACAGTAATCTTCATACACGGGTTCGATTCTCCACATTAATACAACATTGTGAAGCCCATTTCGTCTCTCCTATGTAATTTTGTGCCGATATTGCTGAGCGCGGCATAAAACTACACTTACTCACTTATTGATAGAGTTTAAAAACAAATAGTCATTATACTATAACACATACAAGCAAAGGCTAACGAACACGATTTAGGTGTATTTTAATAACATACTGATATTGTTTCTATGAACCTATCAGCTGGCGCAGTGACGCTTGCCCTTGGGTGACTGATTGCCGTATGTCCGCTGATAAGCCCCACTAATCAACGTGAATCAGCTATATTGATGCTGGTTATGCACAGTGTACATGTGGCCCGTGCAGACTGTCCATCACAACCATACCAGGAATACTAACCACACACAAAGTGATGGATGGTGGCCACAACAAGGGTTGATGGGTCACTGTTGTGAGCATGGTGATTAATGGTGGATTGGCACGACGATGCTGCAATGAAGGAGGGAGATTTATTGTCCTGAAGTGCAGGACATGATCCCGTGATCTTTCTGTACTAGTTTTCTGAAAGATCCGTGGCACCTGATGGTGATTGAATAGAAAAATTAAATTTCTAAACAACTGTGCTTAGAAGGTCATATTTGGTTTACTACATCTTACAATTACCGATATGATCTTATTTATATATTCTTATTTGAGCCCTGAAATGCATGACATTCGCTAGAGAGTTCACCGCAATAACTGGGGCGGTGGGGTAGCCTAATGGTTAAAGCGTTGGCTCGTCACGCCGAAGACCAGGGTTCGAATCCCCATGGGTACAATGTGTGAAGCCCATTTCTGGTGTCCCCCGCCGTGATGTTGCTGGAATATTGCTAAAAGCGGCGTAAAAGCAAACTCAGTCAGTCAGTCAGTCACCGCAATAACTGGAGGGAGACAAAGCCTTCATGTAGGTCCATCACAACAGTTGGCTCGGCCTGAACAGGTTACCGCGCTCATATACTGTGGAATGACCGTGTTAATTAAATATGTAAGATCGTAAACGCACCGTAGTAAAATAATAAGTGTAAGATGTCATGCAGGGAATTACAGGGAATATAGCATTGTTCATAATTGTTTTAACATGCCTGTGCTGAATAAACATTCAAAAATATATTACCGTATACTTTGTTTTGTTTGTTTGTTGTTTAACGCCGCATTCAAATACTCGAGTCTGGACCATACTATCCAGTGATCGACAGCATGAACATCGTCTACACCATTGGGAAACGATAACATGTATCAACCCAGTCAGCGAACCTGATCCCGTTCGTTGCCTCTTACGACAAACATGGGTTACTGAAGAACATTTCTTACCCTACTGTATATTTAATTTGATTTACGACCTGGTAATTTGTTGATAAAGTTCTCCAATGGCTACAGCAACGGGTATTTTTTTCTCCATGATATGTTAATAATTTTACCTATCCATGGTAACGGAGCACCAGGACTCATAATTATAGGTTTACATACCGGGAACACACAATGGTGTGGAAGTATCAACTTGGCTATGAGCTCTCAAATCAACGCAAATTTATTCTAGAAAAACAACAAAGAGAGAAGTATCAAATGTCAACACAATCATTTATTATAATCATTCATATGGAAATAAAACAATATGACATGCATATATCAGGGGTGGAAATAACCCATTGCCCGACGCCCGAGTCCAGTGTTTTTTTCTGTCGGGCAAGCAAATTTGTATAATACACTGTACTGGTGTCCAGTTGATATTCCAATGTTAATTATGTTGTTTATTTAAAAAATCAACAAGAAAACGGCCGGAATAGTGGAAAAATTATCAGGGCAAGTGATTTTACATGTGCCACTGTACCGGAGTACACTAGCAATTTTAAAGTTATTTCCATCCCTGATATATGCAGATAACATCATGCACATTTGCATATGACATACACGTCTCTTTGATCATTAACACGTGAATAGTTGTTTATGTTAAGTCAATCACAATATCAAATAAGATATGTCAATATAGTGTGCACAGAAAACCTAACAAAACGTATAAGCAGTACTTCTGAAAATGCACACACGCACACAATGCAATATAAAGCTAAAGGTTTTATGTGTGGACATAATAGGACATATATAGTGCTAATGGAATATTTGTGTTCTATCTTGAATTTAAGATCTTGATAACTCGTTTTAAACATCTGTTAACCAAGAAAGCATTCCTTCAAGCTTGTAACTAAGCCTTCTGCAACTTATTCAAAAACCTTGTTTCACAGACGTCGTCTTAAACCGCCTCCAGCAGTAACCTGTCATTCCCTATCGATCCAACCTGTTGTAACCTTACTTAAACAAGGGAGGTAATCCATGCGCATTTTTGCCCAGGTAAACAGCGGGCCAACAGGAACTATTACGCTATGGAAAACAGATTGCCTGAAGTTCAAATAACAAGTGTCGCGTAATGGCGGCCCGTGGGGCACATGTGTGTGGCCAGGTAGAGGATGGATACATACATACTCTCCCAGGACTTTGTCAACGTGGCAGACCTCCCCACGACTGTCTCAGTGGTAGGCGGAGGGTACTCAGGTAGTCATGTACGCATATCACGCGGGGATGTGTTGTTACTGAGGTCACACCTACCTAAAGAAGTTACTCTGGCCTTCCATAGCGAGGATACGGGTGCTCGGAAGGAAATACCGTGTTCCCTTGATTCTTGCTTGAAGTTCGTTGTCTTACCTCCTAAAAACAAGGGCCAGCTTTGTGACAGTCACGAATCTCTGTACACATCAGTGAGCGACCTACTTAAGGATTGTCCGACCTATTTTCAAGCCACTGAGGATTACGATGATCCCTATTTACCTGGGTTTTCAGTTAGACAAGGAGACAAGTTCCGCTTTCTGCGTACATTCAAGGACCCGCGAGATGACAAAGTTCGGCTGGAGTGCAAGGACAATAGTGGCAATGTCATTAGACTGTCCAGTGATTGCAAGGGCTACTTTCGCGTCCTCGAGGATCGGTCGGTGTATACTTTGCGGGAACTGGTCAATCAGGCCCGGGTGAGCAGACGACTTCGGTTGTCCACAGATAACGTGCAACTCCAGCCAATAACAATTAAGAGAATAAGTTCCACAGGGAGTGCAGAGCAGAATCTCCCCGAAAAGGAACAACCGCCTTCCCCCTTAGTTCAGATGCCATTAACATTTAAAGGGGTGATACACTTGCGGAAGCCGGAGGAGATGCTGGAAGTGTCGCCCTGGGGGGAGTTGGAAACCAGATGGAAAATACCTAGCAGTGTCAATTTGGAAGTGAGACCATTTTCCCAAAATGACTATGAAGTGCCAGTGAAGCAGAAACTTGTTTCTATGAAAATCGACGACTTTATTTCAACATATGAGGATGATTTCCCAGTGGTTGCAACGATAGTGAATTATCCTCAGATTCATGCAGAGTTGACAAACCATTTAAAGAATGTGTCGGATGTCATAGTGCACAAAGTGAAAAACGCTAAGCGTCTTCTAGCAAAGACTAGGACCAGGCACTTCAGCATCGATGGAAATGTTAGAGCATCCTTTTCCGAGTTTCCGAAATCTTTCAGGTTCATTCGTGATTTGTTACAGTGTCCGCCTGGTACGGAGGTACGGGTAATGGGGGATATTTTCTCGGATTTTCCTAAACCGTTTTGTTTAAAGTATGGAGACATCCTGCGACTAGTCAGCAAGGAACCAGAGAATTTTAAGATGAAGAAAAGTTCTTTCAAACAATGTGAAGTTATCCGATTCCAAAGGATAGGGGACAATGGGTTCTCTATCCCCATACTCTTGCCGCCAGATCTGGAAATCAAGACGATGGAGATAACCAGTCTGCATTCCCACCGTCCTCATTTTTTATCAGATATTATTGCAGGTGCTAACATTCCCTCAAGAGTAGTAACTGTGTTACAAGAAGAGAGTGAGAGTAGTCTCCCTTTACCAAGCCGGTTTCGCCTTTTGACAGTTGTTTCTGATGAGGTGCTAGTCATATCCCCAGTTGATTATTCTCAATCACAGGCCATAAGTCCAATCCTGGAAAGTTGCATTGAAATTCCAAAGAGACACATGGTGCACTTTGCCTTTTGCAGAAAGCTGAGTTTTCCAGACAATTATTTTGTCTTTCCAAGATCTCGCCATACTGTTTCCATTCGTGTGGAAAAGATCACCGCTGAAATGGCAGATGAAATGAGGAACAAATCAGACCCATATGAGGATGTCGCCTACAATCCAACTCAAACACCAATGAGGCTTCCAAGGTCCTTTTCACAGGGGTAAGAAACCATAAATGCCTTTTAGTCTCCAAAATTTTTGTATCTAACGCCAGTAACCACATTCATACCTATATGTATGCCTTTCTTATTCTACTAATTTATATGTTTACCTCACCCAACCATCATACCATATCATATCATATCATATATCATATTAGCCTATTCGTTTACCTCACTTATTGAATTATTTATTAAACTCAATTTCACAATGGACCTACACCTGGGATCTGGGTTAGAATAGATCTGCAGCATGCCATCGAAAGAGGCGATGATGATGTCATCACTGGATTAACTGGTCCAGATTCAATTATTCACAGACGGCCGTCATGTATCTGGAATATTGCTGAGGTCAGGGCTGGTCAGCAAACAAACAAACAACCAGTGCACTGCATGCACTGTGCCCCCGACTTATTCCACTTTCATAACAGTCGTTTCGCCTACATAATGATGTTTGTAAATACCTGTCTGTATGTGATAAAACCCTTGTTCTAATGTCCAATATATCAACCTCATCATTATAATATAACACCTAACACTATATTATAACCGTGCACTACTTGTTCATGCTGGACCGATTCTTCAGGTTAAACAAAGAAAACAGACAATACAAACAAGCCACGTACTTGATCAAATTAAATGTATATTCCTAACACAGCCATAACACTACCATTACATTATGAACCCTAAACAAACAAGTCCATCCCAATACATCTGTCCTCTAACGAGTTATTCATACGTGTGCACCGTGTCAACTTTGTTACTCATTATCGATCGTCGTCTATGTGTGTTTGAAAGGAGTGGAAAAGTCACCGGAGTCGCTGAACTGTGCGATAGATATATACACTGGATCAGGAACACAGTAGACAGATGACTGGCACAGTTATCACTTGCAGAGAATCAATACTATCGTAGGCATTGGCCATTGTCATCGTTAAGATGTGTCTCCATCCGCAACTATATACTAGTTATCCTATTGACGCAAAGATGTATATTCTAGACCATTTATCATCTCAGATCGATAGGTGTAAAACTGCATCTACAACGTGAAGTAATTGTCAAAAACGAAGGTTAATATGCTTGCATGTATCCAGTGCATAGTGAAATACAACGTTTAACTAGTTAAATATAAAGTTTAACTGGCTGCATGTAGGAAATAAGTTAACATGCATGCATACATACAGTGCATCACAGTTAGGTATTATTAGATGTTGGAAATAGTTAACATGTTTGCATACATACAGTGCATTACATGCATACATACATACAGTGCATTACATGCATACATACATACAGTGCATTACATGCATGCATGCATACATACATACATACATACATACATACATGCATGCATACATGCATGCATGCATGCATGCATGCATACATACATACATACATACATACATGCATACATGCATGCATACATACATACATACATACATACATACATACATACATACATACATACGTACGTAAGTACATAGATAGATAGATACATACATACATTATACATTACAGTTGGGTATTATTAGATGTAGAAAATGAGTGTTAACATGCTTGCATGCATACAGTGCTTTACAGTTAGGTAAAATTGGATTAAGGAAATGAGTTAACATGCTTGCATACATACAGTGCATTACAGTTGGGTATTATTAGATGTAGGAAATGAGAGTTAACTTGCTTACATACACACCGTGCATTAAAGTTTGGTAAAGTAAGATGTAAGAAATGAGTGTTAACATGCGTGTATACATACAATGCATTGCAGTTTGTGCTAATTACATGAAGGGAATGAGTGTAAACATGCTCGCATACGTACATTTAGTACAGTAAGATGTAGGACGTGATTACATGTGTATAATTGTACACAGTGTATTACATTATGCTGATACATGAAGGACAATTGTTAATACATGCTCCAATAAGCATGATCCAATATAATGTATTGCAGTTTTATGAGTTGTAAGAAATGAGATCATATATTCTTGTATGCACTGTATTGCGTTTTTTGGGGATAAAGTTGATAAAATGAGGTAACAAGCTTGCATGCATACTATATATCACAGTTTGGGATTCTTTTAACTGACTAGAAATACCAAATTCTAGAAAAAGAATTTTTGTGAAATTGAAGATAAAGAGGCACGCTGGTCATTGTCTACTGATGACTGAAGATGGAAACATGTATTTTTCCATGATGAAATAATACACATACATTAGCTTTACATCAGGCTTTACAATTACTTGTATTACATTACTTTACATTGGTTGTACCCAGTATGATTTGTAACTGAAAACTGATGGACCTTTCATGTTAGGTCTGTGTGTACAGAGCATGTCGTCTATCGTACTCTGTTTCGATGCTTATATGCAGTACAAACTGCTGATTCATGTAGTACAATGTTTGCCATGTATGTGTATGTGTGCATGTGTGTGTGTATGTAGTACAATGTTTGAAATGTGTGCGTATAGAACATGTTTACGTGTATGTGTGTAGTACAATGTTTGAAATGTGTGTGTATAGAACATGTTTACGTGTATGTGTGTAGTACAATGTTTGAAATGTATGTGTATAGAACATGTTCATGTGTATGTGTGTAGTACAATGTTTGACATGTGTTTGTATAGAACATGTTTACGTGTATGTGTATAGTACAATGTTTACCATGTATGTGTATGCATGTGTGCATATGTATGTAGTACAATGTTTAAAATGTGTGCGTATAGAACATGTTTAGGTGTATGTGTGTAGTACAATGTTTGAAATGTGTGTGTATAGAACATGTTTAGGTGTATGTGTGTAGTACAATGTTTGAAAATGTGTGTGTATAGAACATGTTTACGTGTATGTGTGTAGTACAATGTTTACCATGTATGTGTATGCATGTGTGCGTCTGTATGTAGTACAATGTTTGAAATGTGTGTGTATAGAACATGTTTAGGTGTATGAGTGTAGTACAATGTTTACAATGTATGTGTATGCATGTGTGCGTATGTGTGTAGTACAGTGTTTAAAATGTGTATGTATAGAACATGTTTAGGTGTATGTGTGTAGTACAATGTTTGAAATGTGTGTGTATAGAACACGTTTACGTGTATGTGTGTAGTACAATGTTTGCAATATATGTGTATAGAACATGTTTAGGTGTATGAGTGTAGTACAGTGTTTGACATGTATGTGTATAGAACATGTTTAGGTGTATGAGTGCAGTACAATGTTTGCAATGTATGTGTATAGAACATGTTTAGGTGTATGAGTGCAGTACAGTGTTTGCAATGTATGTGTATAGAACATTTTTAGGTTTATGAGTGCAGTACAATGTTTGACATGTATGTGTATATAACATGTTTACGTGTATGAGTGCAGTACAGTGTTTGCAATGTATGTGTATAGAACATTTTTAGGCTTATGAGTGCAGTACAATGTTTGACATGTATGTGTATAGAACATGTTTAGGTGTATGAGTGTAGTACAATGTTTGACATGTATGTGTATAGAACATGTTTAGGTGTATGAGTGCAGTACAATGTTTGCAATGTATGTGTATAGAACATGTTTAGGTGTATGAGTGCAGTACAATGTTTGACATGTATGTGTATAGAACATGTTTGGGTGTATGAGTGTAGTACAAAGTTTGACATGTATGTGTATAGAATATGTTTAGGTGTATGAGTGCAGTACAATGTTTGACATGTATGTGTATAGAACATGTTTACGTGTATGTGTGTAGTACAATGTTTGCAATGTATGTGTATAGAACAAGTTTAGGTGTATGTGTGTAGTAGAAAGTTTGAAATGTGTGTGTATAGAACATGTTTGGGTGTATGAGTGTAGTACAATGTTTGACATGTATGTGTATAGAACATGTTTACGTGTATGTGTGTAGTACAATGTTTGCAATGTATGTGTATAGAACAAGTTTAGGTGTATGTGTGTAGTAGAAAGTTTGAAATGTGTGTGTATAGAACATGTTTGGGTGTATGAGTGTAGTAGAAAGTTTGAAATGTGTGTGTATAGAACAAGTTTAGGTGTATGTTCGTAGTAGAAAGTTTGAAATGTGTGTGTATAGAACAAGTTTAGGTGTATGTGTGTAGTAGAAAGTTTGAAATGTGTGTGTATAGAACATGTTTAAGTATGTAGTGCAATGTTAGGATGCACGTATGCTGTACAACGTGATGATTCGTCTGTGTAGAACAATGTTTGGGTGTGTCTTTAAATGTTTTGGTTGCATGTAGTACGATATATGGATGTTATATAATGTTTGGATGCACGTGTTTGAATTTATGTGTGAAGTACATTGTTAGGCGGTAGTATATTGTACAAGGTGTGTTTAAATGTATGTGTACAACATGTGTACGTCTACAATTTGGATTTACGTGTGTAGTACAATGTTTGAATGAAGGTATATATGGACTACAATATTTGAATGCAGTCATATAATATGTGAATTGTATGAATGTATGTGCATAATACTATGTTTATGTGCATATATGTAGCTAATGTATGTGTTTGGTGAAATGTATTCTTCTAACTGGCCAATCTAATATAATCTAATTGGCCAGTATGAGGGACATGGAAAGGACATAACACGTTATAGCCACAGAAGGACAAACGATCGAGCCACACGTTTTCACCAAGGTCAGAAAGGGTCAAGTGTGGATTTTAATAGTCAGATACCTCCGTTGCCTGGGGGGATGGTATAGTACTAGGAGTATGTATTATAAATAAGTGCAGGAAGCTCTGTTTACTTTGGTGATAGAGTATCAGCGGCAGAACATTAATCCTGTGTTACACCACGTCCAGAGTTGACACTACACACATGGTATATTCATATTTCCTCCTTACATATTCGGTGGTTACATATAGTGGTATGTGACATTTTAATAGCTTGCACCTATCATGCTGTGCTAGCGGTTGGTTTATCAAGATGTTAACATTGTTTGAATGTAGGTTACTGACCTACATAGGTGAAACACTGACAGATAATATTCACGAAGGGTATAATCCAACAAAACCAAACAAACTACAACAGTTTAAGTACAGTCTGGACAATACATCCTTCCATTCACGTATATACCTTTTGATATTGTTACCTCTATGATAAAATATATATCGTCACCACCAAGGCCTGGACTTTCGAAGTGTCATACACTAACATTAACTACCGGAAAATCATTGTTTTGATTATCCAACCAAATGGATTCCATTGAACGTAAATGTGTCAAACTAGGAGTTTTAATAACATGGATGGACCATGAAAAAAGCGGTGAGACCAGGTGTTGCTTGTCATGTTATGTTTACTACATTGATTGTTATATATGATACTTCTCGATTTACCTTTAAACATGACATCACCCTGTGGTTAGTGGGGGTTCATGTTACGCGATTGCGTGTTTGTGGCGACTATATTTCTCCCACAAACTGCTTCAACATGATACAATCATTGCCTTATTTTAGCCATGTTAGTTCCATGATGACATTCAACATTTGACATTCTTACCATGTCAGCTTGTTGGCGGGGTTAACCTCTTTGGTCATGTTGACAAGACGAATCAGAAGGTCCGTGGTTCGAATCCAATCACGGGATTCAGAAATTGTAAGACCCATATTAATTATAAGATAATAGCTGGATTCCTGCCGACATTATTAACACCGTTTAACACCCTCACATGTTCCACATATGTGCAAGAGACCGGATTTTCACCGCCGTAAACTTTACAGGATGCAGCATATCTTATTCTACAAATCTCAAGGCTCTCATCACTATTGAAGTAATCATGCTTGTATTTTAATAACATGAAGCAGTTGATATTTTAACCAAATTAGACCTTACTAAACGCTCATCCAGCAGAAAGTCTAATATCGCCATAGACCCATGCGTTACGTCAGGATTTCACAATACATTGTATCTTGGACAGCTGCTTATATGCCACAAAGAAGACATACTTTCTTGTAATCTATGTTCATTTGTGAGCAGCATATGGAGAATTTCGATGCGTGACACCTGGTTAATGGCGGAGGTAGTAGTTATGTCAAGATTTACACGGTGGATTAATGTGCTAGTAAGAATGTCATTAGTAACCGTCACGGGTGGGTAAGCCTATTGCTCAAATACACCTGGTGTTACTAGCAACTGGGGCCATCCTTTCTCCACGGGCTATACAAAACTAGCTTTAAAGGACAACAATCTTTTTTACGCCTCAACAATACTGGAAAACACATTTGAATATGAAGGTGGTCTGATGCGCCATAACAAATGTATTGCCAAGTATCGAGATGTTTGGTACAGAACCTGGTCGTCCTTAATCCAAGGTTGACATGGATTATACTGTCACAACCTAGCGGAGGCTTTCTGATAAATCTATACAGATCATAAATATGTATATAGATCAAATGGTTTCTGTTCATGGTTTATAAATGAGCAGCGAAACACCCACGAAGAACAGGAAAACTTGTTGTGAATGTCAACCCAATAAAACACATGAATAACACAGTGACATTAGTACAGGTGGTTTATATATTATATCTGATGTTGTGCCCTAATCCACTGCGGAACACAAATCTAACCTGTCTCTTCTTGCACAAGGCGATCTAAGAGCTAAGGCCATCACAATTCCCATCCATGTACTTACTACAGCTTTACAACCATACTTGCAACAGACTTGCAACAATTTTAGCAATATGTTTGCTTTTGCATGTTGGATGTCTTGAAGCTTTGTTTGCAGCGTATGAAAGTGAGTGAGTGAGTGAGTGAGTGAGTGAGTGAGTGAGTTTTGAAAGCATTTCAGTCTATGACCGTGTGTGACTCAGTGCAGTGCTCTGTTGGGATTTATCGAGGCAAGTAGCTGAGAAATTGAACATAACAAATTGGAGAGTATTCGGGATTGAGTCATCTAAGTGACAGTTCTGCAGGGACCACAGAGCCACCTGTACCGCTTCACCTAATGGCGTCATGGTCAAACGTGTCGTCAGATACATCACAGCAGATTCCGCAGATGACTGCAAAATTCCCAGATGTCTCTCCATCAATTCTTGTATACTAGTTTGCTGTGACCGTGTATATGTTCCTCCACTGAAGCCATACCTGAAATACTTGGCACGAGGCTGACCTCACCTTTCCCCTGACCTGTGTGTGTTTCCCTCAACATGATCCTGCTATGTAACTACAGACATGACGAAGGATTACATGGGATTACATAACGTACAGGTCCACCGAGTTCCTGCTCACTTAAGTGTTGTAGGTGGTAAGGCATGTTGTAAGTACTTGACACAGTTTTTGCCATAGACTATATGCACTAACGCTTTGCCTCAGAATAAATATTTTTTTGATAGAAACAAACAATTCCTTTTAAATTTATAAAGAGCCCCAGTGAGACGGGAGATTCAGAACCTGAGGAAATCTAGACTTGCTTCATTTAGGACTATATATTGGAGAAAGGGCTGGGTGGATCTGATAATAATGAGGTACAGGGACTGTGTGACATATTATTTCAGCCATCACGCTGCTTTATAATGTCACGCGAATCTTGGAAGCAAGCATTGAGGGTGTAGGTTGAATTACACGTGAAAGATTTATAATTGTTTGGCTCACGAAGTGATATATAATCAGACATATCCGCTTTCTGCAAATCGCAAATGAAAAATCTGTAAGGGTGACACATGATCCCTTGTCTTTAAGCCCCAGTGGAGTCTGTTGTGCCGAAAATTGGGACTGATCATTATATGTCATTGGCGTTCCATACATGTATGAGACTTAAATGTATAATTTTAGTAGAAAGTAAATAGAATGTATTTACACATAATGCTATACCTATCATAGTCACCAGAGTTTGTGAAAACCAAGTCAAAACATGTCAGTGCTAACTGTATTAAATAATATCAATGATATTTAAATATATCATTGAGGGTGAGAATACCATACTGTAACTAACCAGTCTGTAGGAGGTAGGGAATATGAACAGTACATCTAGTTGTGTAAGTGTCAGAGTTTAATAATTTTTCATTTTCGAATGATACATCAGGACTAAAATATATGTCTTGCTTTTATGTTGGGCATTCAAAGTTAGAACTGGTCCCAAACGTGTGCTGGTAGAAGGCGATATAAAGGATCTGATGTTCAGCCTTGGTGATTTGATGGCGTGTCAGCCAACCCCGACGGCGTGACTGTTACTCATAATATCAATCACTTGATTGTCTGCTCCAGACCCTAGTTTATTCCATATAGCAAGAATAATTTGGAGGGCGAGGTGAAACAAAAACTGACAAGCGTCTCATAATTAGTGTGTATATTCACAGCGCCATAGACAAAGTGAAGAAGCGGAAGAAGAACCCCCTGCAGCGACTGAGCCGCGCCCTCAACCCGATAAACTGGAGACGTAGCCACGCCCCTGCCACCCTCTCTCGGCTCTCCCAGGAACCTTCGCCACCGACAAACGACTACGACGCGCCACCACGGAGTCCCGGGGCCCGCAGCAATGCAGGTACTTCATCAATCCGCGCGATATCACAGTCATGTATGTAGGTGATACAGTTTATCGGAGGTGACTGACTGCGTCAGGTGATACTGACAGGTCAAGTGGAAGATGAAACTGTCTATCTGGAGCCGCAAGGGACAGTAAACACTATCCTATGATAACATATCGTATCAGTTATTTTCTGCTGACTGTATATACTCATGGAAATATATAACGCAACATGTACAAAGTGAGTGAATATGGTTTACAGCTGCAATATTACGGTAGTGGCCACAAAAGGTTTCAGACATAGTACCCATACGGGGAATCGAACCTGGGCATGCGGATTGAGGAGCAAACGCTTGAACCACCAGCGCCGAATGTATACAATTGTTTGTTTGTTGTATAACACCGCACTCAGCAATATTCCAGCTATATGGCGGCGGTCTGTAAATAACCGAGTCTGGACCAGACAATCCAGTGATCAATAACATAAGCATCCATCTGTGTGGGATGACACACTGTACAGTACAATATTAGCAATGTATTGACACTCATTTGACGGTGATTGGTTAATATAGGACATTGTAAATGCGTTAATCACTCATCATATAAATGTCTCTGAAACACAAAATGACATCAACGTACAAACACGTAACTTACATGACTAAATTATAAGTTCTGTATGTGTGTGTATTGACACACACAATGACACACTCACTGGTAAGTTTTGTACGTGCAAATAAATCGCCACATAACATAATAGAAAAGCCATATGTATTTGATATTTAGACGAGTAGGTATAATGGTAAACCCTCATATACTTACTTTCCCTTTTGCATTTCAAGAGGATGACCCGTACGAACAAATAAACATCCAGATAGGAGCCAGCCTTGCCTCATCCAACCAAACATACAGCCATACCGACATTGCCTCAGCAAGTGAGTATAACATCATGTCATCAATATTGTTCGCATCATCAGCTCCAGTTCTAAATTGTAACATGAATCTTCTTTGGTCGAAGCAAATAAAATATCTGACAAACTTGTACCAAGACTATACATCTAAAAGTAATAATTTCGCAAAATATATTTTATGAAATGCCTACTCCTTATGTCTGAAAGTTATGCATTTAAAGCTTCTCTCCATTTCTGTCTGTCACTTTTGTAATTGTTGTTCCAGGCGAAAAACGCAACAGTTTCTAGTGCTAAGCGTCACGGAGTCGCTAGACACTAGCAATGGTAAATTGCATGAATAAGATCAAATGCATGAGGTCGTGGTTGTGGTAGAGGGGGTGTTTAGGGGGACGATGGATGTGTATGTGTAACGGAGAATTTCATTTAATTAAGTAGTTTTCACATCGCGTTTGATCTCAAATATAAAATTATCATTTATTGTGACATTCTGTTCTTGGATCCTGGTTAATATATTATTCTAGAATCCCTTTTCCTTGGGAAATGAGTAGATTCATTTGAAGTTTAAGAAATACACTTCGCTCTACCACCATGTATAGTGTAATAAAACACACTTTTGCCCTGAACTATTATAGTTAAAGCACGAGGACGCTTGCTTTAACGCAGCTAGTTCTTCTTAGCTGCGTGAAGCAACAATTTAAACCAGAAACAAACGACGGTGTCGGTGACCTAAATGTAGAAGGCCGTACGAGGCGATGACAACTGACATGCATCGTGACGTCTCTTACATTGTGACGTAATGTAAAATGGTTCGATTACGAGGGGGCACACTAGAATGGCGCAATGCCGGGATAACGTCATTCAATTGTTACGTCATCAAAAAACTATACCTTTATTGTCTGATAATGGTTTTTTTTTTCGATTGTTCTAACCGCTAGGCATCTTAGAAACATAAATACATTTCTGTAGTCTTACCAATATTTGCCTGTTCCCTTCATTGCACGCCAACTGATTAACACATTGTATTTGGGTACAAATGCATTAGCTAGAATTTTTCCATATTTAGTTCCATATCGGTTGCAATTCGAGCCTGACATATAATAAACCATGCTTACTGTAGTATACCTTGGCATTAGTATCTGCTATAAACATTTCATATTTATGTCTATGGCCGCGGTACTATCATTATGTACTCTGTCGGTTGTCCGCTTGTCTTGACCTGTTGATAATTATATATCTTTCAATGATCCACACATCTCGAATTCTTTATTGTGTGTATCAAATGTGAAACGGCATCAGAAAATAATCTCCCTCGATTGTTTACCGAAAAACCATTCCAGTGGCAGTATAAGACATAAAGTAGTGGAATACTATCAACAGGTTAACGAAACTCAAGATGATAGCGGGTGTTCGAGAAAAGGATATTGCTCTAGAGGTAGCGCCACCACTCATACAGTTTTATAAATAATACAGGCTTCAGATCAATGTCGAATAGCACATATGTATGAAATGCTAGGAATTTGGATATTAAGATCACTATTGATCTAAACTACACCAAAAAGAAACACCAAACTTTATCAATCTGCTTCTCTGAATCTCTCACTGTTGACCTCTGACTGTATATGCCTGTGTTGCCTATGCTATCCTGTGCTGTCCTTCACAAGTCCTGTTTGTCCTTCACAAGTCCTGTTTGTCCTTCACAAGTCCTGTGCTGTCCTCCCCGAAATGTCCTGTGCCATTCTTGTCCATCCTTGTCCTACCCAGCATGTCCTAGTACTCGCGAGTACTGTCCTAGGCATTGTACAACAAACGCATGACCGCCTTACCTCTCCCAACGTCGTGTTGTCTGTCTTTGTCTACCTGAATATAATCATAAACATGATCATTGCAAAAAATGGTGGAAAAGGTCTCTGTTTCCAGATGAGATCTTAACTTAATTATTATCAACTTGTGAAATTTTCCAGTGATACTTTAATTCCGGCATTCATATTTGATGATATGTTTCATATTCAGAAATATTATCCATTGCCGTTTTCATTCATAAATGACTAATATTATTGTTGTTTTGTTTGTTTATTGTTTATGAATGCATTTCATAACCAAGCATGGTACTATAAAAATGGTCACGGTTTGTACAATGTACACGTAATGTATTACACTGTGTACATCTTGTCTATGTTACATAAAATGTCAAATCATACACTAAAGGTGCTCCACATATAGTTTAGATTTAACGGGGGTATTGGTGTCAAGTCGTCAAAATTGATGGGTTCGAATGCCGCTTCGTCTCATTCATGTTTCGTTTGTGAGCAATGTATCGATCCTTGAGGGGTTCACCAAGGCGCTGAACGTCTCAGTCCTGCATCCTTTCGAACCATCTTTTCGCCTGAAGTTGACAAGCCGTAATAAAACTGAAATATTGTCCAAAGGCGTTGAACCCAGATCACTCATTTAGTTTGGTTTGGAGACCCGTGAAGATCCAGGCCAGGAATTCAGTATCCCATGCTTGTCATAAGAGGTGACTAACGGGATCGGTTGACAAGTGTCATCGTATCCCAAATGCGTCGATCGATGCTCATGATGTTGATCACTGGATTATCTGGTTCAGACTCGATTAAATACAGACCGCCGTCTTATAGCTGAAATATTGCTGAGTGCGGCGTAAAACTAAACTCACTCACTCACAGCTCAACCGTGAGTTTATTATTATTTTCATGTAAGTTACAAGCATTTTAGATCCGTTGTTTAAATAAGTGTTTGTGTTAAAATGTATTTAGGAAATGAGAATAGCGATGCTGCATGTAGGAACTGTCAAAGAGAAAAGCACTTGAAAAGTAACATTAATATGAATTTCAAGATAGCATGCGATTTTCAAACTTTGAAGGAGTAGCTATTTTTCTTTTGACCAGTTCAGTTAGCAATGTTTGTGTCTCTTCGGTTAGTCAATTTGTTGTCTTTATTTTATTTCAGTCATATCCCACAGAGGAGTAATCCCAAGAACAACCGCCATATGACGACTTGGGCTAATGATGAATTGTATGTAAATAGTACCGTAAGAGCATCTGCAGACCAAACAGTCAACCATGAGTCAACCATACAATACACCATGCTGGCATAGTGTGTTTGTCCAATCAGTGTGTAGTCAGGTTCAGTATAACGGACTCTTACAGATGCAATCAGTTCGTCTACGTAATTGTCATACCAATACATTCTGATGTATGGAATATGTTTGGTTTCAGCGGCATATTTGTTGTAGCCGACTTTTGTCCAGACTTTTTGTTACTGCAGCATTTTAGTTTTAGAAGACTATTTATTGTACAACGTATAGGAAAGGGTCACAAGATGTATCTCACATATTTTCAGTCTCCACCATGAGTATATTGTTGAGATGTACTGTTGAGATGTAAGGAACCGGTAACCATAGTAATCTGAGACAGTGTAAACGGTTCAACTTGGCATTCTTGATGAAACATGATTGGCAGGACCTGAGGCTTAAAACTTAAAATATTAACGAAACCCATTCATCAACTGTCATAACAAATCAGTACTAAAAGCAGTGTCTGTATCATAAGCATGTGTCATTATGAATCAGCGATAAGGTGTTCGTAATAAGGCGAACGTATACTTCCTCACCGGTGGCACCGTCACAAATACATGCAAAGGAAGGTCAATTGTTCACGAAACAACAACCATAGCATTTAATTAGAATATAATTGAGGCATCTTTCTATTGAGGGACACGGCGTTTCGGAGTGTATTCTTACTCCGTTCATATATATATATACACTCCGAAATGTCGTATCTCTAAAAAAAAAATAAAAGAAGTTGACATCCATAAATTCTCGCCTTTATGCTGTAATATTGCCGAAAGCGGCGTAAAACTATAATCACTTACTCACTCGATACAGTTTACTAGTGAGCGTGGTGTTACCTGAGGTCGGCTATCCTAGAAAGGTATATTTTCATGAAAACGTACATATTGTACAGGATTCATTTAATACATGCTCATTTAACCGTAATCAGTAATTGAGAGCTAGGCCCGCTGTAGATCGTAGTGTGTGTGGATGTGTGAACAATTCGTGCATAGTTAAAATACTGCAACAATTAGTTGTTCCTTAAATAATACAATTCATAATTAAATATTAATGTTCCCTGAATCAGAAATATTGAAAAATGTCACCTCCAATCTTCTACTACATCTTTTTTCTTTTGCGATAGATCGACAACGACGTAAATAGACCCTTATCGATTAACCTAATTATGTCCCACTGCACATTTATCTCTTCTCGATATGATGTGTAGTTTGTTTCACAATATACCACATCTGTATCAGTTAGAAGGAGCCACTTGTACATAATACCAATGACAAGGTGTTCCTGTATAAGCCATTGATAAGTGGCTTGACGTCTATCAAGGATCGGATATAGCAAATCTTTATAAGGATAATGAGAAAAACAAGGACTCTTAAAAAAAATAGCTATATTTCTTCCTCATAAGTGAAGATGACCTAGCAACGTTCTTATGTAACACTACAGAAGACACAACACGTGCACACTCGAGAAATGTCAAGGTCGAATGATGATGTGCAGATCGTGTATACTGTGGTCACGTGTGAGGGCCTAATGCTATATATAGACTGCCACGTGTGAAGGTCAACGTCAAAACATATTGGCAATATTCCAGCTATTGGACGGCGGTATGTAAATAATTGAGTCTGGAACAGACAATCCAATGATCAACAGCATGAGCATCAATCTACGCAATTGGGATACGATGACACTTGTCAACCAAGTCAGTGAGCCTGACCACCCGACCACGTTAGTCGTCTTTGACGACAAGCATGGGTTACTGAAGATCAATTCTAACCCGGATCTTCACGGGTCACACGCTGTCTTGACCAGGTGTACCAAGTTGGACGTTATTCGAATGAAGCAGTGAGTAAGCGGTCTCTGGACAACAATGACATTACTTGACAAAGTATAAACACTTAAAAAATAGCGTCTGCGCGTTCCTCAACTGCCAAGTGTGTTTATCCAGAATGCTGATCCACAAATTATCTGTTTGAGCACGACAAATATCTTACAAAAATGCATTTAGTACACGAGATATTACGTTCAGCTTAATTTCAAGACACTTGTCACAACATAGATCACGTTCGTATTATCAAACAACTTATATTCAAGAACATAAATAAAGCATCACTGTTAATCTATAATGTATAATATGTGTAGGAAATACCATTTTGTATATACAGTGTTCACTGAAACACGTTATCTAACCCTGATTAATAATTATACATGTATTTCGAATTTTCATGAATGATTTATTGTTTCTGAATGTATATTCATGCATATTTAATGTAATCGTGTGTGTCTGTATCTCTAATCCCTGATTTAATCATTGCCACAGGTTTTTCTGATATCATTTTAATGACACTCATTGAAATGCTATAGCCATACAATGAAACCTTTCAGAACTGAAATGGATTAACGGTACCTTGTTTCTTACGTAACTGCACGAATTGGCATACGAAAGCATAATATTAGAGTTGCTACACAAAGCGACGACAAAAGTTTCTAATATTAGTGTGACGGCACTATTCGACACAGGAACAATTTCACTTACAGAGTTAGTTGCTCATGTTCGATGAAACAGTGTGATATTTGTGTGAAGACATGTTCAGTATTACGCACTACTGGACAGAGACGGTTAGATTTCTGAAAGACAGACCAGTCATTTCAAAGATACATTTCATTGACTTAGAAACGATTTATTTTCATGGTTTCTATACAAGTCGACATTGAGTCGATTAAAACAGACTTCATTTTACTACAGATCATGACAAGTATTATTATTTGGTTACATCGAGATGTGTTAAGTCCAGTGTGCGAAATAGCCACTGGCCCGTTAGCCCGTGGCTAGTAAAAATCCAGTCGGGCAAGTAAATCTCTAGTCACTGGCCCGACCTGGTGAATTTATTTTTATGGGCTCATTTTGTAAATATATCACTCCCTCCGACTTGTTAAGTGGGCATACACTTTTAAATCATGCAAAATTATGGCCTTATAAAAAGTTCATTATATTAACAACTTTTTGATGAAACCCGTGTCTACATTCAAATTTCGGGCTAGAGAATTATTTTTTGGGCTAGCAACTTTCAGGCGTAGCTAGCCCGACTGGCTAGCAAAATATGGAACCTATGTCGCACACTGGTTAAGTCTCCACAGTAACAGTGTAACTATGCATTTGTGTATTGATGGTTACAAGCCTTATAAACTTTATATTTGTATTTTGTTTGTTACCTGCCTGGATGATGTTGAATATTTGTTCATAGGGATGTACACACTTATGTGTAGGCTGGGATACAATGGTACATTGCAGCATTCAAGTAATATATGTCATGAGTGTTGTATGTTTGTTGTTAACTTGTAGCAACAACGTGTCCACGTTATTGATTTGGCCAATCCACTTATCGATGGTCGAGTACAATAAAATATGTAAAAATACACCCGGTGACCAAGCTAATGTGGACAAAGCCGCAGTGATAATAATGACACATAAAACAACGGTTTGTTTCTCGTCACACTACAAAAATGAAGTGGGTAGGTAGGTCGGGTTTTTTTCTTTTCATGTTTTTCTCCTGATTACCTATCATAAACAGTAGTTTTTATTAGAAAGTCTTCAACATCTATGCAAGACGTCAGTTGATTCCGTCAGCTTAGAAAATGACTTTAAAAGGCGACATAAGCACCGAAGTTACCATGCAAAATATACATATATCTAAATGGTAAAAGTAGGTGTGCGATGAGAGACAAGGAACAGGATTATGTGTTGCATTTGCTCATATACCCAACATAATAGCTACCATAAAACTTTGCTGGCGATTTTAATATCTGTGATATGTTGAACTATTTTGAATGAATGCTGCTTTATTTAATTGCATCACTATCATATAAGCAAGCCAATCTTGTCCGTCAAAAGGTATTCATACAACATCCATTTTCATACCGAAGAGTCTTTAGTCCTGTCCGAAATTTGGACTTAAAAACGGTGTATTCTGTTGAATACAAAAACCTTTTAGGATCAGATGGCCTTTGTCTTTTTCTTGAAATTACAAGTTACGAAGTTGAAATTTCAAAATGCTAACCCTAACAGGCTTCCGTAAAAATGATTCTTAACAAAAAGGAAGGCCTGAAGATCTTCGGAATCAAAATGCTTGATGCCCCATACTTGCCCTAATAACCCGTCAGTCAGGTAATGCAGTTTTATTGTCGAATACCATAGCAGGTGTGTGTCGTTTCTCTCACCAGGATCCTGCTCTATACCAAAGGCCTGTAAATAGTTACATCTTGACCCAATTACTCTGGTTGATGACGTAAGTGTCAGCATACGGGCACAGGCAACATTCCATGTCATTGTCAGACACTTGGTTTCCAGTGCTGTCAATTCACATGACGCGGCAATGTTGAGTTTACGTCTCTGATTATCCCCTATACTTGTATGCTGTAACTTATTCCTTGCTGTTAGCCCTCACGTCACGCTGTAATTAAACGAGCATGTGAGATGGGTGTGATCAGTATTCACTTTATATCTTGGCGTTACAACTTGATACTGGAACAGGAGAGCCCAAAGTGATGAAAGTGCAAGACTTTTAACGGGATAATTATCATCTGTTATGGAGAATTGTTATTGTTCTTTCACGATTAAGCCATGACAGAGGTAATCCGTCTCAAGAAAGGTTTTATCTGTACTTAAACATGTATCTAGTACACAAAAAAGGTTAAACGAAGAATATGGCATTTGGATTTCATTGCTCACGACTGGTCAGATTAACTGCTATAATTACACAATGCCAATTCAAAAGTATTCAAATATAGCATATGTTAGTTTAACTGCTTAACTGCTTGTATTTCTATTTGAAAGGAGATATATTTACCGAAATATGTGGAAAATGTTTGTTCAGTTGATAAGGAAATACATAAGAGTCAACCTCTACCCAAATAAACAGTTGAGGTTTGAGCAAACAGAACCTTCAGAACACAAATCAACTGGTATCATCGGATATTCTGATATATACTGAGTGAAAACATAAGGGATCGCATGAAAGCACATGTGTTCCTTTACTTTTTCCCAGGTTTCTTCACAAGCTTTCTATCGCACAACTTGTGAAGAAACCTGGAAAAAAATAAAGGAACACTTGTGCTTTCATGCGATCCCTTATTTGTTTCCCTCAGTATATGTCATATCATCACGTGACAACTATATCAAGTTAATCTTCATGTACAACTAAGTGCCTCTTTTGTATAGTCGACACAACCGTGATTATTATATTTGATTTCTGGATATATTTTTGTGTGTTTCATTTTGTACTGATGATATGTAACACTATTTTTACAGAGAAATTGTTTTAAAGAGCATGTGCAACCTACAGCAAATTAAACTTGATGATTGATGAAACATTACTGATGTCTGTGATCTTTGTAATCTTCACCTGAAGGTTTTAGAATTGAAACCACACAGTGACACGACAACATGAAAATAAGTCATCTATTTGAAAGACATCACACATGATTCTGACAGTTTAATGTACGTCGACATGGTGGACAGGTGGTCCTCAGATGAATGTGCCTCAAAGGGATTTCGGCATAGCGTTTATACATGTTCAGTTTTGGTTGTGAAACGATCTGACTGATACCGAACGCCGCAGTCAGATATGTTCAGTCCATATCAATGTGGCCTCGACCAGGTGAGTGAGTGAGTTGAGTTTTAAGCCGCACTCAGCAATATTCCAGCTATATGGTGGCGGTCTGGAAATAATCGAGTCTGGAACAGACAATCCAGTGATCAACAGCATGAGCATCGATCTGCGCAATTGGGAACCGATGACATGTGTCAACCAAGTCAGCGAGCCTGACCACCCGATCCCGTTAGTAGCCTCTTACGACAAGCATGGGTTGCTGAAGGTACATTCTAACCCGGACCTTCACGGGTTTCGACCAGGTAAACGATTTGACTGAAAGCATGAGCAACACCCCTTGCTCGATGACACGACATCAGCTCAGAGAACTTGACCACTGGATCCATTTTAACTTTTGTGGAGCTTCAACAGGGAGATAATGGTATTATGGCGTAAAATGTGGTTTAACGTGGTCTTATTGCACTTATATCCCGACGTCTATGTGCCCGTGCGTGTTGGCATTTTTATTGGAGGTATTGGAATAGGTGAGTATGGTTTTACGCCGCTTTGTGCAATATTCCAGCAATATCACGGCGGGGGACACAAGGACTTCACATATTGTACCCGTATGGGGAATCGAACCTGGGTCTTCGGCCTGACGAGCGAATGCTTTAAATAACCACTAGGCTACCCACCGCTCCTGGGATACGTAAAACATTACCAGTCAACAAAACACGTATCATGGTGATTAACACCAGCAGATAGAACATAAGCAATACTAGCTCACTGTACCTCTTCATATAGACTTGCATAAGTCTCGAAGGTAAAATTAATAGCTTAACTCATAATTTCTTTAATAATAAAAAAAGTATAAATAACAGACTGGAGTCACTGTCCGCTTATCTAGACTAGCCTCTTCGGAGGATATAATTACTATACATCCATGGGCTCAGCATTCAGTACAGCCTTGGAGCAAGGCTACTCTTCATATTTCAAAAAGGCAGATACAGCCTACGCGTTCGCTCGTCACGCCAGGGTTCGATTCCTCACATGGGCACAGTGCATGAAACCCATTTCTGGTGACTCCCGCCGTGATATTGCTTCAAGTGGCGTAAAACTATACTCACTCACTCAAGGAGCGAAGGGGTCAAGACAATCTACTATCAGCTGGGACAAAGCTCAAAGTTGGTTCCCGAGATTATCATTCACATTGACCTTGCCAACCACTTCACAATGGCAGAATGGAAATTCTCAGGGTACAATAGTCTGTCTGGTATAATCACACCGACACAACTGACAATTATATTTGTGAAATGTACACAATATTACAGGCTTCCACTTCAATTTTCTCCAGGAGCTGTTGAGCATCAATGTCACATGATCATTTGTAGTTATTGAAGCACAAGTACGACGATTCTATTTGAATAACCGAAGAGTCTACACAGCAATTTTCGAAATTAAACTATAATACTAATTTAGTACTATCTTACTTTAAGCTAGTACTATTTCTCAAGCTCTTGTCGGTTATTTTTGTAAATTCAATCCTTCATTGTTGGAGAAGAAACCCATGTTTTAATAATCTTGTCATCAACATAACATTTTGTTGTATCAATAAAGAATAAATGCGATCCATTTATTTTTTGTTGGTGTGTGCCTCTTAACACAAGATGTTAAAGCATCAAATTAGCATGCACCATTGGATAGCGGCCTTCATTGAGGAAGTAAATCGTCAGCAATTGTGCTAGAGTTACCTCCCCTATACTGAAGCCCTGTCACTCGGCACAACTTGAACAAATGCTATTCGAACCCCAGTTGTATCAACACTGACATTGCCACGGTGCAACACGTATTTCACAATATTTAACAAGACATGTGAGATTCTGATATGATAAAAAAGTATCAGTATCATCTACTTGTAGACATCTGGATTTATGTATTATATTTTGGAGACATTAACAAAATTCGTGCACAATACATTCAATGGGGAAAATAATTATAACCATTTTTATTATGCAGTATATGTTAACACTATCTCAAAACCACTTGATAATCATTTAATCTGTACAAAATAAACCTCGAACTTTAAAGGCAGTGGAAGGGGGAGCGAGCAGGGGGTCATTGATTTTGTACATGACACGCAGGGGTCACTTATTTTGTACATAAATTTTAAGAGGGTCATTCACATTGTACATGCTTCTCCATAAAATCATCACACCCACACCCCACCTCCCAATATGGCTTATGAACGGTCCCTTATATTGATGTGCCTGCACGTGGCTGGATGGACCATGTCAGTGTTATACTGCCAGCTGGATGGACCTGTCAGTCAGTGATACACATGCCACAGTTTACCAAGGATACCCACCTCAGACCCAGGATACTAACTCCAAGCTACCCAGTCCTTGTTTTAATTCTTCATGAGAGGTGGTGGTTAGAAGCATGGGCCCAGTGAAGACCAAACCACTGTTCAGAATTAGGGAAAACAAGGGACTGGAAGCTGTGATAGATTGCAATAGAGATGTATGGCTGTACTGCTGATAGTGGTGCCAAGACATAGCCTTCAAAAACAACACTCTGAAACATCTCTGTTAATGCAGGTCTGTTGTGTGGATAGTTCGGAATAATTTGCTAACAGGATGGCTCATTTGAGCTATAAACATATACTGGACAAAAATTGTTTGGGATATATGTAAATTTTGAAATTATGAATAATGATCTATTTATTTGTTGACACACTGATAAAATATCAATCATAAAAATACCAATATCCCCAACTTATATTGTCCAGTATACTTGATACTCGTTTTCTCCACTACATGAGAAACACAAAATAAAACACACCATTTTTCTAGTCGATAGGATTTAATTTATCTTTTGAAACAACACAACAGCAGGCTCCCTGGTTTCCTGGAGTGACTTACACACTTGTACCAATAGTTCACACTACATATCTGAAACAAACACAAAAAATCCCATTACTTCTGGATTAACAAGAACAGTGAATTGGGTTAAGATCTGCTTCAAGGGTATTGCAGTTGCCATGACATGCACACTTAACCATAAGGCAGCAAGACTCAGTATTACTCAATTACAATTTGGTGAAACTCATGAGTCTTGGCTATGACATACACGAGATCACATTCAGGGTGTTTTTTCTGTCACTCTAACCTACAATCCAGGAACATATCTAGCAATTCCGCAACAAATGTCAGTACTAGTTCCCAAAACGGATAAACATTTCCTTTGTCATTCTGTCATCTTTATAACTAATGTCATGAGTGAGTGAGTTTAGTTTTACCCCGCACTCAGCAATATTCCAGCTATATGGCGGTGGTCTGTAAATAATCGAGCCTGGACCAGACAATCCAGTGATCAACAGCATGAGCATCAATCTGCGCAATTGGGAACCAGATTACATGTCAACCAAGCCAGCGAGCCTGACCATCCGATCCCGTTAGTTAGCCTCTTACGACAAGCATGGGCTACTGAAGGCACATTCTAACCCGGATCTTCACGGGTCACTAATGTCATGGTTCTATAATAGGACTTGTACTTCACTGACAACAAGACCATTATGGAGGAAGCCGCTTTAGAACATTCCTTAGCATTTTTTAAACACAACTCTGAATTTTGGTAATAACACACTTTGGAAAATCTAAATTTGGACAACATAACTATTTTTCCCAATCCAGATGCCTAAGGCATTTAGTTCCATATATACACCTGCAATGAGCCAAGGAACCTTTGCACTCGTCCAAAGTCTAATAAAATTATGTCCGGTCTCAAATGCTCTGCCTATACTAGTTCTAATGATAACACAAGATTCGACTAAAGATGATGGCACAGACAGCTCAGGTCTGGTAATGTGATATCAGGTGTGAATATTTCAACAGGAGGCATCTTTAGCAAATCATTTGTTTATCTCACTGTCACCATGGCCTAGACAGTTAAACAATAAATCAGCTGTTCATATGCATGTTACTATCAATAGCTTATCCCAAAACAGGTGGAAAAAACTGCATCCATACAAAATATGAACAAGTGGTTTTGACAGTTTACAACAGTTAGAAAACTCACCAGATGTTACCTATTTAAACTAAAAGTGAAAGCTATTTACTCTGTGATCCCCCAAAATCATGATCCACAACAAAACTAATGTTTCTGGCATCATATATTTTTAAAGGGTTTACCTCTGAGTACTTTATTGCCAAACTGACACATCAGTTTACAAATACATACAGTCACAGGGACAGTGTGAAAAAGCCACTGGCCCGCTAGCCCGTGGCTAGTAAAAATCCAGTCGGCCAGTAAATCTCCAGTCACTGGCCCGACTGGCTAGTGAATTTTCATGGGGTCATTTTGTAAATATATCACTCTCTCGACTTTTTAAGTTGTAACACACTTTCAAATCATGAAAGATTATGGTCTGATAAAAATGTTCATCATATTAGCAGCTTAATGATGAAACCCATGTCTACATTCAAATTTCAGACTAGTGAATTATTCTGTGGGCTGCTAGTAACTTTCAGGCATAGCTAGTCCGACTGGCTGGCAAAATTTGGAAACTATTTCGCACACTGCACAGGGCCCTTTCATAACTTAGCAGGCAGAATTCTCAATATGCTCACTGGCACTCCTTCATCCAAATAACCATCAAATACCCTAGAAGTCACAATTTCAGGGCGTCCACTATCAGTGTTCTATTTCTTTTTTCAACAAATTTTCATTAAGAGACAAATGAGATTATGACAGCCAAAATCAAAACATACGTCCAGTTATCCTGAATAATGATTCTATTTCCAGTCTTCTGCTGTCACGCTTCCATCGGATCGTATTGACTGGAACACTCCGGCCTTGATCATTCTGTCATAGTGAGCCTTGGCATCGTAGTTTCTGAAAATGTTCATCACATCAAACATTTAGTGTTCCCCCCAGGATCCAAAAAGGGCATGCAATGACACATTACCAAGTATTATGATAAGTTATTCATGCAATGTGATTCTTAAAGGTTATTTCAATTATACATTCAGTTATTTCAATTAGCTTCAACATGAAATAGAAACTAAAGACCACCAAGTGTTAATATCAATTATTGTATTAAAAGAAGGGCAGAGTGAGTTTGGTTTTTCGCTGCACTCAGCAATATTCCAGCTATATGACGGCGGTCTGTAAATAATTGAGTCTGGACCAGACAATCCAGTGATCAACAGCATGAGCATCGATCTGTGCAATTGGGAATCAATGACACATGGCCACCAAGTCAGTGAGCCAGACCACCCGACCACGTTAGTCGCCTCTTACGACAAGCATGGGTTACTGAAGGCACATTCTAACCCGCACCTTCACGGGTCAGGGCGCTAAGTAAAAAGGTCAGGGTGCCAAATTAAAAGGGCAGGGAGAAACACTAACATCCAGCCATGTTGGTAACTTTGTGTTTGTCAGTTCATTGGCCAGTCAAATTTCCTCAAAAGGTTGTTTTGATGTTAACTGTAATCATAATAATGGAATGTGCTCATACATTTGTGTAGCAAGGGCACAGAGGTTCTGACTTAAAATTCAGATTGACAAAATACTCAGTTAACTTTAAAAATTTCCTGAATTTATGTGCTTTGACTCCAATAACAAAGCACATAAAACCCACTGTTTACTTGTCCAAATGCCCATTTAACAGTGCATGTCATATCAAAGGGCCATAACTCATATTGGTTCACATTGCCTCAAACTTTGTGGCAAACACTTCTACAAGTTTTCTCACCCTATCCAAAACAAACTAGTTTAATGTGCACTTATGTCATAAATTTGTTATACCCTTTGAGTTGACAGTATCAAATATGTTACACAAATACTGCAAATGTCAGTCAACTTTATTAGTCAGTCTAGCTATTTTTCATAATGGTAAATCTGTATACACACAAGAACAAAATTGATCATCTTATCAGATTGACAAGCAAATAGAGTACAAGATAATGTTTAGTTGCAATGAAATCCTAAACTCACCTGTGGAAATCTTCATATTTCTTTATTCTGACATCGTTTATTGTAACTTTGTAGGCGATAGTTGCAACAACAGCAAGAGCAATCCCGATGCCCAGGTCCCTCTTCACCTTTGTCCTCAGAAGGTTTCGGAGTTGAGGCACTGCAGCCATCTGCAACAAACAATGTCATGATTTAACATGTTAAAAGAACATTTTCTTAATGGTTGGTTGGTTTGTTGTTTAACACCGCACTCCACTCAGTAATATTCCAATACAATACACCAGAAATGGGCTTCACACAATGTGCCCATGTGGGAATCGAACCGGGTCTTCAGCATTACAAGCGAACGCCTTAACCACTAGGCTACCCCACCGCCCCCAATCTCGGATTGAGGCACCATGAGCCTGAATAATAGTGAACATAACAACATAGGGTTAGGTTTTTAATAATGAATTGCTTCTAAATTACATTCAGGATGCTGTTTTGTTTACTTAGTAATCCATGCAACATATCACCGCTCACAAGTGTTGTGAAATAGATTCATTTCTTACTTCTCAGATACTTATTGATTACTAATCGATATTTAGTTCTCTATGCCCTATATCAATTGCCATCCCTATAATAACGTAATCCCACTGTTGACAGGCTGGAAGTGTACACTGAACATCACACCTTTCATTCAGTCACAAATCGGAAAGAGTCCATTCCGTTCCCATATAACATGTAGCATTACCGTGCCTTGGGCCCTTATCATACAAAAAAGGGGCCGACCTGATATATTGTAATTAAATTTGGGGCTTTTAGTTATTTTTGTGAGTTCTCTAGTAATTGTTGTGTTAGGTTTTGTTAATATTTTTAGAATACATTAATTTATAAATATTATTTGGGATAGGGGAACGGGAGGAACTCTTACCCACAGGAACAATTTCGTGTCCATATAATTCAGTCAATTTTGAAACAAGAAAGCCATAATGGCCGATTTCCTTGTCTGTCCTTCACTGATAACTCACAAGGTGAACAAGTCTAAATAACATTTCAACAAATCTGGCTGAGTAGTGCACTAAATATTTTTCAAACCAATCAGTTTTACTGTTTTTACAATAAAGTTTTACTGTCATGTATGTAGTATTTTATTACAAATGCGGAGGTTCACCCCACCTTGCTTAGTTAGTGAAATACTTTGTTTGAATTAACACTTACAACACTCGCCCTTGTAGATTGTTATTACTGTTAGCAAATAGATTCTAAAGACAAAAAATGTTTATCTTCACATTGTTTGCATTTTGAAATTTGTCTCATAGATGGGTACGTGCAAATGGTGTAAACGTCAATGGTTTACACACCGCAGAAGCATGCACTTCAAACGACACACCGCATTCAGAGGTGAAATAGATTCATTCATACACTGTAACACGTTGTTGAAACAATTATGATCAAAATCTAAGAAATTCAACGACCAATGATGAATTCATTACAATCTAAACACTTGACTGCATGGCAGTGAATGAAAATCATACCCTGTATGAGAAGAAACGTGATTGACCTTCACAAACAAAATGTTACTAGCAATGGCGGCTGATCACGTGACATTTCGAGGGGACGTAACTTTTGTTACAACCATCATAGAAACCACAAGAAACAACCGTGGAGCAAAGTGAAGCATTTTACTCCGCTTCATTCACAGAAACGGAACATTGTACTCCCGGCTATATTTTCCATGCCATCATTCCCATTTAAATACATATTTTTAAACAGCTCGAACCCGCTACGCGAGTTCGAATTCAAGATTCCCCTCGATCGTGGTCCTTCATTAGCTGTTACCACTTGTCCCTAGATGGCTTGCTTGTACTAGTTATGGAGAAGGAATACCACACACACTCTAGCTGTTCGAAGCAGCATTAGACCCCTGTCACATGTGGTGGGGAAAAATAAGCTTAATATTTTTCGAAGCACATCTCGCAAACTTCCCGGGGGCTACTTAGGCTTAAGATGGGAACATAGCATATTTTAAAGTTCTGAAGGCTCTTCTTCGCCACAAGTTACCATATTTTAAACAAACATTCGATAAAAAGCACATTAAATTCCGTCAGTTAGTGCATTGACCAATCTTCCAATCTATATCAACAGTGCGACTGTTACCGTTCTTTGTTTGTGAAAATAATAAAACTACGTGGAAGAACAAAGCACACTTGAAAACTGGATTTGACGCATACATTACAAACGCTGAAAACAGTCGTCCAAAACACAGTTAACCTAGGTTCAAAATACAACCCTTATCAGTAAATCAACGTGGAAAAAACATTTCCCGTTCGTTTCATGTTTTTGCTTTCTTTTGCCCTTCAGTTTATACACGTGTATAATTTCGATTGTAATTAACAGGACTTTGCTCAACTGGAAAAAGAATCTTATTACAACTTGACAGGAAGTTGGTGCCGAGCCTTGCCTCGTTCACCATTAAGTTCCATTATTTGATTCATGACGATCAGTCGCATGTTCTAGATCATTTCAAGTTCAAGTCATCTTGCTGGACGGTATTCATAGTATACAAAGGGACTGATGAATAATGTGTGATTTAATTTATCAAATTGGACAGGCCAGCAAATTACGTTGTTAGGTAGCAGTGAATAAAAAGAATCTCTGTCCCTTACAAAAATACCTCACATTATTTCGGTGAAATGTGATATATAAATGCTGGAATAATCCCCTACCGGCCTCTTCCCCACCTCAACACACACGTGTATTTACCTACCAGCCCATCCACCGCCTCAACACACACGTGTATCCACTAACCAGACTACCACCCCCACGCCACCCTCAACACACCTGTGTACATGTATTTACCTACCAGCCCATCCACCGCCTCAACACACACGTGTATCCACTAACCAGACTACCACCCCCACGCCACCCTCAACACATCTGTGTACATGTATTTACCTACCAGCCCATCCACCGCCTCAACACACACGTGTATCCACTAACCAGACTACCACCCCCACGCCACCCTCAACACACACGTGTACATGTATTTACCTACCAGCCCATCCATCGCCTCAACACACACGTGTATCCACTAACCAGGCTACCACCCCCACGCCACCCTCAACAACATCTGTGTACATGTATTTACCTACCAGTCCATCCATCGCCTCAACACACACGTGTATCCACTAACCAGACTACCACCCCCACGCCACCCTCAACACATCTGTGTACATGTATTTACCTACCAGCCCATCCACCGCCTCAACACACACGTGTATCCACTAACCAGACTACCACCCCCACGCCACCCTCAACACATCTGTGTACATGTATTTACCTACCAGCCCATCCACCGCCTCAACACACACGTGTATCCACTAACCAGATTACCACCCCCACGCCACCCTCACACATCTGTGTACATTGTATTTCCTACCAGCATCCACCGCCTCACAACACGCACGTGTATCCACTAACCAGATTACCACCCCACGCCACCCTCAACACACATCTTGTGTACATGTATTTACCTACCAGCCCATCCACCGCCTCAACACACGCACGTGTATCCACTAACCAGACTACCACTCACCCCACGCCAACCTCAACACACACACGTGTACATGTATTTACCTACCAGCCCATCCATCGCCTCAACACACACGTGTATCCACTAACCAGACTACCACCCCCACGCCACCCTCAACACACCTGTGTACATGTATTTACCTACCAGCCCATCCACCGCCTCAACACACACGTGTATCCACTAACCAGGCTACCACCCCCACGCCACCCTCAACACATCTGTGTACATGTATTTACCTACCAGCCCATCCACCG